TTTTATCTTAATATAACATCTATTATAATTAAATAATTTAATATTAATATTTTGTTAATATGTTTTAGTTTTTTTTGTTAATTTTTTGAATTTATAATATAAATTAGTTTTTCAGTTGTATTATTTATTATTTTTCTTTTTTATTTTAATGTTTTTATAATATTATTATAATTTTTAATTTTTAATTTTTTAATTCTGTCACATATAAATAAAATTTATAATGAAAATTGACCTTTTAATTATTATTTTTTAATTAGCTTTTTTATTAATTCATCTTATATAAATTTTTAATCTAAAATTTATATTATTTTAAATTTATTTTTTAAAAATTATTTGTTCATATAATTTACAGTACCAAAACTTTTTAATTTTTATGGGTACCATAGCAATTCCCTAAAGATAAAGCTTAGGTATTTTGGTACTGTATTTTAATAAAATCAGAGTTTTATTTCAACAATTTATGCAATAAAAATTATTTTCAGTTATTGAGGTGAAAATTTATTTTTTATTAAAAAAACAACATAAAAAATATAGAGAGCATTTAAGTTTTTGTCTTACATATGCTTCACGATCTTTATAATTTTTTCACGAGTTTCTTTCATTCTTGTAACGTAGTTAGTAGATTGGAATGAGACGTTCCCAAATTAGAACAGATCATTATAAACTACTAAAATAAGGGTGATTTAGTAGCCCAGAACGGGCCGTTTCCAAACTGGAACGGACCGTTCCAAACTACTAAATAAGCCTATAAATCATGGTTGGGAACGGGCCGTTATGGTTTGAGAACGGGTCATTCCAAACATGGTCATTATGGATTAAAATGTAACCCCAGAAAGGGTCGTTCTGGTTTGAGAACGGGTCATTATTGATGTGAATTTTATACATGACGTATTAGTCCAGAACGGGCCGTTTCGGATTCGAAACGGGCCGTTCTGACCACTCCTGACTTCTATAAATAGGTTACATGTGTCCAATTGAGGAGAAGAGAAAAAAGGAACTTAGATAGAGGTTTTAGAGAGAAGTTTTAGAAAGAAGGACTCTGGGTCTGTGAGCTCCTTTCTTTCCTGAATTTCTCTGTATGATTCTTCTTCTCTTCAAGATCGCTAATCTCTTCTGTCTTCTCTATTAGGAAGCTTACTTTTGGAGGATTGAAGTTTCGAGTTGAGCTTCGGAAGGAAATTCTACTTCTTCTCCATTCTTGGCTATTCTGAGCCAATTTTCAGGTGAGAAAAGTTAGAATGTTTGTTGTTTAGGTTGTATGTGAGTTTAGAGACTCAATCGATGCATGAATGTTGAGAATCAATGGTTAGATTGGAGAAATTTTTCATTTTGGGGTTTTTGGGAAAATTGGAGTTTTGATGATTTTGATGCATCGGATAAGTACATGTTGATTTTGAACTTGATTTTGAGTTGTATGGAGTCTGTGCATTGTGTTCTTGTGTTTGCAAGTAGCTGGATTTGCTAGTTTGGATGATTTTTTGAACTCTCTGACTGGGATTAGGCCGGGCGCAAGTTGAGCGCGCCGGGCATGAAAGAGCTTAGGGCTCGGGTTGGATGTTAGGTCGGGCGTGATTTAGTTGCGCCGGGCGTGAGTGGGTTTGATGTTTTCGGATTGAAATTGATGCTCATGCATGTTTAAAGTTGAAGTTTTAGATCATGTATGTATGATATATGATGTATGGTGAGGTGTGATTCATATGTATGCTTGGTAATGATATATATGAATTTTTAAATATGATATGGCATGTGTATATGTTCATATGAGGATTATTATTGATCATGATGGTGGGTAGACCATATATGATGTATGATGCATTATTGCATGTGATGTCTTATGGCATGAGTATGATTATTGATCATGATGGTGGGTAGACCATGTATGATGTGTGATGCATAATTGCATGTGATGCCTTATGGCATGAGTCTAGCCTATGACTTGAGGAGAGGGAAAATATTTTCGAACTGGAAGAACTCACATAGAGTCTCTTGAGAGTGGTGCTTGGATAGGCCACTGATATATGAGAGTGGTGCTCAGATAGGCTACTAGATTTGGGTGAGAGTGGTGCTCAGGTAAGCCACTAGGTTAGGTGAGTCTCCTCTAAGTCCTTAGCTAGTGTTGGAGCGGAGTATGAAGTCATGGGTTATCCCCTTAACCAAGTACTGGGGAAGGTGCGTGGATCCTTGCAGATAGTCGGTGGGCGAACTCCACAAGTGACTTGGTAATGCATGCCAAGGTTGTGGTAAGTCTGTACCTAGCTGTGCTATACCTGACGATAGATCCGAACTTTCAATTGTGTAAGTGACATCATTCGAGTAAACCCGAGAGAGAATTTTTATCCTATTTAGTTGTGACCGAGCGGGTGTATTGTGCGTAAAAACGGTTGGGGTGGTTTCGGTAGGATTGGGATGTCACTTACACTGCTTTGCTGTTAGGGAGATCTCCTAGGTGTATGTGTGACGATGCATTAGATGATTGATATGCATTGATATCTGTCATGAGTTGCATGTTATTGCATGATTGATGTTATGATCAAGTGTGTTGTGTGACTTCATGTTTGATGAATTGATGATTGATTGAGATGAGAGTTCCTTTGGGACTTTTTGATGAATGTGTAGTATAGATTTTGTTTTATACTTGTATGATTGATTTTTGAACTCTAGTTTACCCTTCTGTTTCCATGTGGATGGACTGCGATGATCATTCTTGTATGAGAGCAGGTCAGGGCTAGCTTAGAGTTGAGATGACCGTTGCGAGACAGGAAATTTTGTCCTCGTGTTAGAGTTATCGTATTGGGTAACTGTTTTGTGTGTGTTTGACCGACACTAGGGTAATGTTGTTTTGTAGATAGAAACGTAGTTATTATATTTATATTTATGCACCTGTATGTATGAGTTGTCTAATTTTAATATTTATCTTAGTTCATTAGTAGTAGTGCGATTCCACTAAGTGTAAAGATCATGACGGGTCGTTACAATTCTTCTATCAAAAGAAATAAACGATTAATATTAAATATAGATAAATTAAAAAATACTTAAGAGAATATTCTTTAAAATTATAAAATTATGAGCAATCAACTTTAAATGAAATTTAACATTCAAATAATAAAAAATTATATTAAAAGAATAAAAAAATTAAAGATTTAAAATTATCTCCGTTCAAAATAGTGAACTCTAATTCTACATACACAAAAGTTAATATAATAATTAAAAGAACAACACAAGCTATGATTCTGGTCACGCAAGGCATTTTCTGCACTTACTTGGTTTAGACTAGACAGCCACCATACTCAGAATCCAAAGCACCATAGAGAACTCAAAGGCAAAGAGGGTATGGAGCAACCCTCGATCAAGCACAAATCCAAATAGTGTTATCCCTCCATAGTTGTGCTGCAAATATGTCACTGCAATAATCATAAACAAAACCTCACTGAATCCAAACAGTGGTATATTCATATACTAAAATAGCGAGAAATTTAATGAATATAAGATAACATCTATATTATTATATTATAATATAAAGTGAATTTTGAGTGTAATTTAATTTTTTTAAATTAATTTATAAAATAAAAATTATCTTCTATTTATAAACTTTATTTTAGTGTTAGTTTGATGTGAGATTTGAATTTTTCTGTATAATAAAACTAATGCCAGAACTCTATCACTAACATTGTTAGGATATAATAGTATTACTATTGCATAAATAGGTTTTAGCTGTGTTTTAAATTAGAGACAATGCTGACCTAAAGCATGCCTTGTTTGAAAAGAAGAAGGTCGTTGGGGAGTTACTGCTACGTTTATGTCTGATGAATCAGAATCAATGGCAGTAGGACTGGGTGGCCCCTCTGGCATTTGGGCTTTCCACTGCTCTGATTCAGCAGAAGCATTGGTCACCACCATGTGCCACTTTGTGCCGATTGACACTATCCCTTGAGCCCTGTGTGTGATTCTCGCCGCCCCCATAAGACACAAGAAGAATCCACATAACTGCACAGCAGAACAAATCTGCATAACAAAATTCACAAGTCTTAATTATAAGCATTGTCAATACCATTGACCAATTACTAAGAAGGAAAAAACCTAGCCTCGTTTGTTTATGCTATTCTCTGATTTATTTATTTATTAGAATTACAACACTGTAGTAATATTAACTCGACTTCACCATTAAAATAATTTATTAGAACTATAGTTTTAGTTTGATAATTTGTATGATATAAGTCTGCACTCTATTCTGATTAAAAAAAATAACACTATGCATATTAGAATAGAAAAAAACAATATTTATTGATGAGGCAATAACTTTACCACGAGATCAGCAGAATTGAAGAAGGTGGTGTCAGATTTGGCTTCCAAAACCAGCAAGAGAGAACCCAATTGACTAACAGTGATAGTCAGCAAGCAACTAATTATAAAGAACCTATACCTATGGCTTGTGATCCACAATTGCCTTCTAATCCTCACGTGCTCGCCGAATATAATGCTTGCATCAGACTCACACCCTTCGAAAAGTTTGTGAAGCCCTTCAAACCTCAGTATCTGAAGCTCGCATGTCAACCTAAAAAGCACACACGCTAACAAGAACAACCCCGTTCTGTAAACCCACGAAACCAACACTGAGACAAACACAAACCATTTCAGGGGGGTCCCACATGATGGCACTGAAATTTCCACATTCAAAAAAAAGATAATTTTGTGAACAAGTTCCACGCAAAAGGAAGGTAACATCATGCACGCTAAGTATCTAAACGCCTTCTGAAGCTCGCGCGTGTATCCTCGTCGAACATACATCGAGTCATCTTGCAACGCATCAAGGAACAGAAGCTGCCGAAGTCCATACCTGCTAAATCATAAGAACAGTTTCCTTGTAGTTGCAACTTTAATATATTAAGGTTTAAGCCTTAAACTAAACAATGTGGGACTAAGAACGTTCAAAATATATGCAGAGCTCTATAGCCTTGACACTTTTTTTTTTTGGTACCTTGGGAAGAAACGGGAGAGGGTGAAGAAGGCGATGATGGCGAGGGATGATTCGGGTATTTGGAGGAGCTTGTTGAAGTTGAAGGGGTCAAGTTGGGAAGCAGAGGCAGGGACATGAAGGAAGAGGGAGGTGAAGAGAGGGACAACAATGGTGAGGAATGTGAAGACAACGTAGGAAATGAGTTTTCGAACGTTGGAAGAGTGGTCGAGTGCACACCATTTAAGAGTTATGCTAAGTTTTCGGAGTTGGTATGTTGCATAAGATTGTTGGAGGAGCAAGGGAAGATTGAGTTGGTGTTTTTCGTCGTTTGCGTGGTTTTCGATAAATGATGGATTTCTATCGGAGGAATCAATGTTGATGATAGTGGCGTTGTCTGCTTCTGTGAAGGGGTTCATTGGTGGGTTGTTCTGAATGTTAAGAGACAGAGACAAACAGAGTGAGGAAAACAGAGCATTGGGTTTGTGTATGGATATGGAAAGAGAAATAGGAATCATAAAAAGGATTATGCTAGGAAAAAAAATAGTAAACAAAAAAAAAATTAAAGGTTTGCAATAATGTAAAATAGTATAAAATGAAACTCCAACGTTTTTTTTGTGTGTGTTGAGTGCACTAGTCCAAACATCTCATTGTATAAACATTAGGAAAATAAATCAAATATTGGAAAATAAACCTTAGTGACATGTTTAATAACATTTGTAATATCGAGTCTTAAAAAACATGTTTAATTTATCTTTTATGTAAATATTTTTTATTATATTTGCTTGAATTATTTAAAAAATACAGGATTATAAATACTTTGTATGAAATGGGTATTTATTTGATAGATAATTTTTTATTTTTGTAATAGGTCTCTTCTTTTATCTAAATGTGCCTCCGTCCTTGACAATAAACGATAATTTATTTTCAAACATCGAAAGTGAAAAGGAAAAAAAAAATAATAGAAAGAAAAGGCATAAACCTTGCTTTGTCTTGTGAGAATTCCTTAGGTTGCGGTTTAAGCCAAGAATAAAGGAAATTTAAGAACTATAAGTGTTGTTTGTTCTCTTTTGACTTGTATGTCATTCGATTTAAGATGTACAGAGGTTCAAATATTAATTTAGCTAGTACCTTGACAGCTTGGCCGATATAATGTATGCATAATTTTTTATTAATTTTTTAAGAAAATCAAAAAATGATTAAGCATAAAAGCTGATAATATATTTTATCAGTAAATTAAAATATTTAAAAATAAAGAGAGTTTTTAATTCATTAATTATACACTTATTATAATCCAAGATAAAATAAAAAGTCAATGTAAAATGTTAGATAAAGAATAAACTTGGTTTTTTCTAATGTTACGAAATTTTAAATTATTTTAACATATTTAAAAAAATGACATAAATAACATTGCATAAGAATAAGTTTTAAATTTTCTAATGGTAAGGAAATTCCTTTTTTTTTCTTGTAATTTTTGTAATTTAAAATATAGAACAACTATGTGGAGACAGAAAGAGTGAGAGGAAACTTTCCTCAACAATTGTTTTGTTCATAGTAAAAAGTCACATTAAAAAGAGAGAGACTAATATATGCAGTTAACTAAATAAGAGAGCGAACAAAGTGATAATCTCACTTTTTTAATTGTATATATAATTGATGTAAAAAAATTATAAATAAAATTTCACATCATTGGATTAAAAAAAAAGTTTATAAAAACGCATAGTCTACATTAGTATGAAATGTTTTTGAATATAACAAAAAATAAAATAATGAGAATTTAGGTCTAAAGTTAATAATATCATTCAAATGTGAAAACATGTGTGTGAATTATGGGTGTCCGAAAATAATATAAAAGTTGATGTTTTCAACCTAGTAATTGACTTAGAGACTTGAACGGATATTAATTTGACAAAAAGCGGTAGATCCAAGTGTGAGATATCTTGTGTTAAAAGTCTTTCTAATAATATGAAGGTTAGACGACATATGCCGTTGATGTGAACTAACGACGAAGTAAGTATCTAGAGTTAACATGTTAACTAAAGTTCTAAAGATCACCATTGAATACTCATATATGAAAAAAAAATTATTGAAGGGGAGGTTAACTCATGGTCATTTGTTTGAGGGGAGGTGTTCTTACCGGAAATCTACTGTAGAGATGATCCTCCGAGTAAGATTGGTGAGCCTCCTTCGCTTGTACGCTTGATGCTCCAAGATGGGGGTGGTACCTGCAAAAGAGACTCTGATTCTAAAGTTAGTGTTTGTGGGTGTATGAGTCTCGTATAAGTAATGCACGTACCTTTGTGTGTATTAGGATTTTGTTGGGCCTTAGGCCCGAGATCAGTTTATGACCTAATTGGATAGCGAGCCGATGTCGCCTAGCGCGTGTCCGAGGTCACTCCGCGCTGTGATGCCGAGCTCAAGCTCGGCATAGCGGTACGGATAGTACAG